TTTAAGTCGTGTCATGTCGTACGACAATGGAGCTAGTTCTCGCTTCACCCTTGTCCGTGACTTAGGGTGAGTCCCCTGTAGGCATTTGCAGTACACTGAATTGATTTCGAGCATCCCTCTTGTTTTTCGACAGCGTAGAGTCGCCGACTGTCTCCGACATCTATTGTCTACACTCTACGTGACGAAGTGCTATACATCAATGTCGTGATGGTGTTTGAAGATTTGAGGGTTTTATAAGGACTCTTTAAGGTTTGTTAGTCAACAGATAACTACGACCTTTATTTGTTTTGTAAAATATTAATTGAACCTACCTTTTTTCAGATGCAAAAGTGGTTATGTTTTTAGAATTTTCTGGTACCCTTTTAAATTACGCATAACGCGGAAGAGCGTTTGATAACTAATGCGTTTTTATATGACTTTAATTAAATAAACATAATTGCCCTATTCTAGAGTATGTAACATGTTTATTCTGTAAATAAATGTCAGGAATTTCATTTCATTCAAAACTCTTCCTACTAATATTATAAATGCGAAAATTTGGATGTCTGGATGTATGTTACTCGCTAAACTGTTGCTGTTAAAACTACTGAACGGATTTTGATGACACTTTACAGTATTATTGTTTATTATCCAGAATAACATATAGGCTATAATTTATGACGATCTGTGACATACGAAATTTCACGCGGGTGAAGCCGTGGGCAAAAGCTAGTCAACAATATTTTATTGAGAACTTCTACATCTTCTCTTTCTGATAATAAAACAGGCCATTTCTACTTTTAAAATACCTCGTAAATTAGAAAACTAGATAGGTACGAGTTCATAGTTAGTTTGTAACACATTCGCTAACGTCCGAAAACGGTTACAATATTTGTTTAATAAGTTTGTGATGTTCTTAGTCCCCTCTAATGTCCCATTGAAGTGTTACGACTTCATGTAGCAATTACTTCTGCAGTTGGCATTCGTTGGGAACTTGGAACCCCATCCCACGTGCCAATAAATCCTACCTTGGGATAATCCAGACCCCGCCAGGGAAAACCGCTCCCGTCGCACTTACTGCTTAATTAAACCAAATTACACTTTAATACGACTGTTTAACGTTTAATTTCGTTAAATAGAGGACCTAGTAAATATAACATGTGACCTATTTAGAAAGAGCTCTGAGTTGTATCTGCTAATTGATAAACAGAGGTCTTTTTAAATTGGGTGATTCTCTAAACAAAGTTGTTTAGGCCGTTGCTATGGTAACGCTTGGTCCAAATTGGAGTCGCGCAAGGGTGCACATGTGGAAAAGAGATAAAGATAACAGTGTATGTGGATAGAAAGAGATGGTGGGCAGGGGTTGGATGATGCATTGCGCACTTGCCTCTGTGCATGGTTAAATTGCATTAGTCTGCCTTTTGAACGAATGCTCCCAATCGCTCGGTTTTGTTAACGAACGGTCCGATCGGTGTTATAGCGAGCGTTTTTTTGGGTGGTGGTTAACGAATCCTTATAAGTATTATCGAAAAGCTCTTTCGGATAATCAATGTTTACTAGTAGGTTTCTTATGTCAGTGTACAGTTACGAGTAAGATCAGATTAGTTTTTTAGTGTAAATGTAGAGCTTGCGACTGACTTTCTACCTGTTAGCTAATGGTTCAAATAGCTGTCATTTGTTTTTGCTAAAAGATTGTGGATGGTTAAACTTATTACTAAGTCTATATTATGACATGCTATAAGCCGACATTTTTTCAAGGAGGACCAAAGTTGAACTTGAATATTTGTACCTATACATATTATATAATAATAAAACTATACATACATAACAAGAGTGTTTAGGATTGGGTGGCGCAGTGAATGATATCCAAGAATACTTATTTGTCTACTTTATTGCTGAAGTAGGTGCCTTAATTTTGCCACTGACTGTATAACCCTGACACGTGATCTTGAGCGCTCACGGCGATGGATATAAATGTTTATATGCCCGTATTTATATCGCGCCGTTGTTCGCTGTAAAATCAATGATTTCACAAGTCCCGCTCCAAAAATACGAATGAGCCATATAAAATCAACAACGAGAAACTTCGGAACGTGGGTTTTATAATAAAAGTTTATATTTAGGCATCGGAATGGAACAAGTGGAAGGAAATTGTTTGGGTACTGTATTGGAGTTACAAGTTTTCTGAACCAAGGTGTGACAGCCCAACATTTTCTTCGACGAATTTATAAACATTTTAAAAGAGAAAGACGACCGTATGTCACAATTTGGGTAAGTACATATTCTTTAAAATCAAACGCACAGTCACGCTACGAGAGTGTAAACGCACAACAAAATGTTAGTTTTCCTAGTATTATTATGTCAAGGTTGATAGATGTAAATAGTTATAACGTAAACGCAATAATTTTTATCAAGACTTTCCTCTAAAAGTACGGACATTCTAATTGCCTATTTGCATTGATTCTCTTTGCAAACTTCTAAAGCTTCGACATTTTTGTTACCCTATTAAAGTCAGTTCTAAAGTCAGCAGTTTTTTCAACACTGATTTCTTTACTACTCCACTACAATACCACGTTACTTGATATACCTCTTCTACCCTGCACCCTTGCATAATGCACGAAGGTTGCATTCCCTCACGGAGGCTCATTGTTAATTCAACACGTCATTGTTCACGTTTCGGCGTCGTTTATACATTTATATGGGAGTTTATACGTAATAGATGGTTTAACGGATCAATATTTTTTGTCAGTGTAGTGGGAATTTATTTTATTGTGTCATTTCGATGATACTTTTAACCCTAGTAGAGGTACTTTACATAACATATTATCATCGGTGCTTGGCCTCCACCTGAGCTTTAGCTTTACTAGTCTTATGAAACAGCATAGTTTAGTACACAACCATGTAGTATTTTTTGCCTTGCCACGATCGACTGGACTAATATTCGCGATCGACCGGTTGGCCACCCCTGCTCTAGACCATTGATTTTATCATTTGTACCCAGCGGGACTCGATCCTGCACCATCATCCGAGAACCACCGGCCCATGGTTATTCCAATGTATTCAGGGTTAAGATTTTCCTGCATCCAGCGCCTTCCTGCAACTTTTATGAGGTCGTCTGTCCACCTTGTGTTTGCATTTTTACGTTAATTTTTAATCGATGATAACGTCATGATGTTTATTTAGGTTCTAACCTTTTAACCTGTCAGAAGTTAAGGCTGGTTGTACACTCTGACTTATAAACGCTAGTTCACTCAACGCGATATTGAGTGAGCGATCCGAGGTATCGTGTTGTGTGCATCAATTCTTAAACTTCTTAATCGTGACGTTACTATATCATCGCAGCTATTTATGTACTATGATAGAATACATCAAAGCAACTGTACCGCGACTGCATCGCAACTCAGTTGCCACAGAAGCGCTGCAATCACAGTGTGTGTGTATAGGGCCTAACATCTATAATTTGTGAAAGTAAATTGTTTACTAAGTTGACAGCCACTTGCGACCGTTACTCATGAATATTTATACTGATGCACTAAACAACATAGTAATGTGATACGCAGTATTGACACAAGTTTTATTGGAATGTTTAACGCTTGTAAATAATATATCCCAATAAAAGTGATTAAGTTAACTACAAGGTAAGTCGCTAGTTTGGTGAGGACATTTGGAAGTTGATTCATTGAATAGAAAATGCATTGTTTATGGGCTCATCTCTCAAAAAAATTGGCTTCGTTTTACAGCTGACATATTTAACCATACTTAGATGAAATTGAAATTACTTTTCTTAAAAACAATTTACAATTTAACTGCTCTTACAACTCTATGTATTGCTTTCTCTATTATCTTTACATTGAGTTGTAGATATGAATCAATGTATTAAATAAAAATAGCACCATTTATTTTTAACAGCTGCCAATTTAATGATACTGGAATATTTAGTCGATAAAATAAGCGCATTTCATGTTACCTGTCATATTTTGTGTACATTCTCATTGTAACTACACACCTAAGTATTTAGCAAGCATGCAGGAAATTCAATGCATATTTTCAGGATCGCAAAATGTATTTACTCTTTCAAATAAATGATTTCAGATGAAAAGTGTAATGTGCGTACATCAGGTGAATTGCTGTTCTCAGAATCGATACTTCAATCACGTGCAGTATTATGTAATACATAAATAAATCCCACGAACTTTAATACAAATGGAAGCGTAGGTAAATGGACGTAAAACTTGTTTATGTAATTTATTTCAGGCGTAAATGTTATTGGATGGATTGTTAAAAACACTTACCTGGTTTTCAGACGTTTTTACGGGGATTTAGTAACGTATTTATTTAGTTTTAATAGTTAATTAGACACTCATCGGTAGATAGATAACAATTTCACTCTTTTTCAAGGTTTTTCAATAAATATTTTATACCTACTTACTGTTCAGATACGAATTATAATAAAAGTCAACCAGTGAATTCATAGCTCAAATCGATTTCTTCACAGAACTAAGGGCGAAATTGGTTTTCTTTGACAATCAATTTTTCATAGCAAGACAGACAATTTAACCGACTTGAAGAAAAGGAGGAGGTTCTATAGAACCTCCGACGAACGAATATATTCGACTCTGTGTTTTTTTTTTCATTTTTCTTTAATCTATTTTTTTCCAAGACCATTTAAGTCTAATAACAACATTTTGTATAGCGTCCCTAAAATAAATAAATAAATAAATAAATAAATAATCTTTGGACAATTTCACACAGCGCCAGCTAGCCCCAAAGTAAGCAACTTAATGCTTGTGTTATGGGTGCTAGCTTAACGGATATACTACTTATATACTTTTTTTTTTAAATACATACATATTATACATAGTCACACCCAGACCCGTCACAGAAATTAAAATTCATCATTTCAATTTCTGCCCGGCCGGGAATCGAACCCGGGACCTCTCGGCATAGTAGTCCGTTCTGAACCACTACACCAAACGGCCGACCATGCCAAGCATTGCTAAAACAATTTCATTTGTCCCCAGAAATAGTGGAAGAGCAGCAATGCCACGACTACGGCTTTCGGCTCACGTGTCGGGACCTGGACTCCCACATCGCTGTCCTGGAGGCCTGGTACACCTCTTCCGAGGACTACCAGAGGGAGAACTCCTCCCAGCCCCAGAACCTCCAGCTACGAACCGAAAATGACTCAGAACTGAATCGAGTGTACGTTTATTCTAGTCCAAAACACAATGGCGTCTATGAGTTAACCAACTTGACGTACCCTGAAAATACCACTTTAGATATATTGAATTTGACGTTTAACGAAAGTGCAAACATCACTGATAATGCAAGTGCGGTGAACATCACTGATAATGGAAGTGCAGTGAACGTCACTGACAGTGAAATGGAAGTGAACGGGAGTGCGTGTGGTGTGGTGACGTATTCACGAAGCTACAGCAGTTGGAGAGAGGGAGACAAGAGAAAGAGAGCCCAAGAGAGGAGTGCGTCAGTCAATTTGAGGGCGCCCTTGAGTTACCGGTAAGGAATACTTAGGCCAAGAACTTGCACCACCTAACTTTAACCGTAATAATAACGATAACCGGTGTTTTTTGTATGGAGTGTGACAGATTTTGGACGTTTATCAAAGTTAAAGTAAGATGGTGCAACCCAGCCTTAGTAATTTTATAGTGTTGTCGATATTACAGCTAGTTTTCTAAGAAACGTTGGTTAAGACTTAAAATAATTTTGTGTTTAGTCTACATGCTCAAAATTTGGCTGAGTTCATTCAGTTTTGATACGGCTATTAAATTAGATCGACAGGTAAATGAAGTGTATAAAAAACAATTTGTATAATAAGTATGTGTGAATTGCTACTACGTGATTCGAAAGACAGATTATCCATGTCAGTTTACATTTTAGTTATACATTTTCTTAATTTGATAAACAAACGTTAACATAAAATGTAGATAGGTAATAGAGTGGATAAGGCAAGAATTTTATTACAAAATTACCATAATTCGATCCAACTTTATTCTATAATCAGGAAACTATTATGAGTCTAAACAAATTCGAGTCATTTAAATATTTTAGCTTCGTCGGAAGTTGCGTGTTCCGCTGGTATATCATTATCCAATTACGATGCATAAGCTTTTTAAAAGCTCTGTTACAATTATAGAATATGATTGTATTATTTTTCTTCTTTTACTAAGAATCTACTCGTGTTGGTTCTTTTTTATTTAATTCAGTAGCATTTAAATAACAGGTTTCCATTATTATGGTTAGTTTTTTGGTCTGTCCATGGTATGGTTAAGAAATTTCTAAAACATTACAGGATAAGTAGATAATAAGTCTACGCTAATAGACTTACAAATCAATTAGGATTAAAACGAAGTTTTATAAAAATTGCAGTAGTTTAATTGACGCCGACTACTTATAAATCAAAACTTAAGTATGTGACATACCTACGCGCCGTATTCACAAACGATGCTTGCTTAAGCGAAGCAGCAAATCTAACGAACAGCGTTGAATAGATCTCTGTGATTGATTCGTGTGTCACCCTGTGCGTCCACGCGCACTGTGAGACTTCATAGTAATGTTTGTGAATACGGGCGTCAAACTTATTCTATTTACAATTCCTTTGGGGAAATGATAATTGCTGAAGCATCAATAATTTAACTGTCAAATACACTACAATGACGTTTACCTTGTGCTTATCAGACGCCCCAAATAGCTGATAACCTTTGATCTCAGACCGATGCACTCAATGAATTAATTGCATCTTTACTAAACAATGATGGCTCGATTGATGTCATGATAGTTTTATGTTTTAATGATTTGTTATAAAAAATATTACGTGAAACAGTTTTGTGTTCAGCGTATGCAGGTGATATGAAATGAATCAAATACAGTATACTCGTAGTTCTTGCAACTCACGAAGGCGAGTGAGCTTTACTTGTGTGTGTACGTGTACGTACATGCACATAACGATAATGTAATGTCTGTCAAAACTTTGGAAAACGAACAGTAACGAGCCACCACACATGTAAAGCCTTCGTGAATTGCAACAACTATACTAGTTATAACCTAACTATAACTACTCGAGTATTCTTCGCATGTCGGTCACATTGGTACTGGCATGATCTATAAACGAAACACTTGAATGTATAAAAAGTATTTTAATTTTCAGATACATAAGTATATTTATCACAATTTTTATGAGCACGAGGAAAACAAAGTCGTTAGTTGGAATGTATTTCCATTAGTTTCGGCACTACTACATGCAACTGAATGCATTCGTGTAAACAATTTTGCTGCCTGTACGTACGAGTGTTCACAGACAAACAAAAACAAATAGGTACTCATAAGAGTCAGCAATTGCTGTTCCCACTTAATTGAAATGTATTTCTAAGGCATTCTTCACACTGAAATGCTGACGTCAGTGTTATTCCAAATAACTTCGCTTTTGTGTAACTCACGATTATGTACAGTCAGCGTCACATAGTTCGTGACACCCAAAGTAGCCAAAAACTTCGCAACATGTCATTGTTACAATTGGAGTAAGTTTATTTGTCAATTTTTTGGCCACTTTGGGTTTCAGGAACTATTTGACGCTAAATGTACGTAGTTGGTTTTCGTTAAAATAACTTGTAGAGCTCCTAAATGTGTGTTTGTATTAACGTAATATTCGAGCACATTTTCCGCCAAAACAGAATTCTAAAAGCATACAAGTCACGAACGCTGGGCAGCCACAGCATATCAGACTATACATTTGCAGCAAAATAGCATCTATTACGCTTTACATAAGAAGCCACAGTTTAGCTTTATGTACCAGCACCTGTATTCAGACGAAGTTATTTGTCCCAGCTGTTTAGTTTCCATTGTGCTCTTTCCCCGGGGAGGGCATTGTTACCATTGTGTTACTGTTGCCCTTGGATTGTTTACCTTGGTAGATTTGCTGGAAAATACAGGTGAAACTAAGATTAATTGTCTTGAAGTTAAGTTAGTTAAAGTGGCACTGCATTACATAATATAATACGAGTTGATTAAGTACTAACTTTCGTGATCATGATCGTTCATTCTACAAATATGATGTGAAAGTTTGGCAAATAATGAAATTAATTATTGTGTTCGGATATTTTTCCTAATATGTGTTCTGATTTAAAAGTCACTGGAATGTCTACTCAGAAAGTATTATTTCACACTAAAAGTTCACTAGTTCACACTAAAAATGTACTGAGAAAACACTCTAGTTCGTGTTACAGTAAACAATAGTTTTTGAATTGAAAAATTAACCTAAAAAGAAGATAAGATTTTTTCAGAAAAGCTTATACCTAATATGAGTTCGAGACAGAGATCTCAGTTCACTATTTAACCAACCAATCATTTATTATTAACCCTTTAAACTCTGTTTATATTTAGATCTAAGACTTCAAAAATAGACTTTCATCAATAATACTCGTATCTTCATACAGATCACACACATGTTGCTGTACATTACCATGCATTTCCTAATTTGAATGGGATGTTTCAAGTATGTATGATAAATGGGAGAGCCCTATCATTAACCTGTCGCGCGCCACATCTGAGGATTAATCGCGTATTTTATGCCTTGTTATATTTCTGTTACACCACAGAAATGTAGTGGAACAGTGTACAGTGAGTTCACTACTTATTGAATTAAATGAAACAACGTATAGAGGGACGCTGTGATGTGCGTGAACGCGAAAACTGACTACGGGTATCTTTAATTTATAAGATACCTACAGCTAGCTCTACATAGTTCATTTACAAATACATATAAGAAATTTTTCGGGACCACTGAGCTGAAATAAAGCTTTTACAAGATAATACAGATTTTCATTACTTACCTACATCAAAAGCTCAGTATGAATGCATTTCAAATTCATTACGTAATGTGAAGAAAACCAGATAAAAATCTTTCGGCATACACAACACACTCACTTTACACACCTGTTAGCTTACAAGTAACATGTTAATTTCCTATTATATTATATGATTTAGATTTGTATGTGATCTAATCGTAAGAGCTTGACCAAGTTTGAGAATTGGAAATGATAGATCTTTGGGAATTTTTGATTGAATGTACATGTACACGAACTATGTGCCTATCTGAATTATCACATTATTTATATCACGTTAAAATATAAAGATAAGAGCGATGCCATGTGTTTGTATTAATATGTACTTTCAGTAACCTACTACATCCCAATACATTATGACAAGGTAGGTCAGGTAGGTCCCAATCATTAACAGAACGTTCCCTTTGGAGTTCGTGGCGATGAGTAGCTTTAATTTTTATAATGTTCCATGAAGGGATCAAAGTATTTTAGTTCGTGGCATCTTGACGGAAATATCAAAGAGAATTCACACGCTTATTTATTTCTCTTAATTGTCGGAAAAATCGTTTTCATTTCCTACATGTTTTAAGTCCGAACGTGATACGGACGATTCCCGGGCATTTGACCTATTTTTCACACTGAATTATTAATTCCAACATTTTACAAATTCAGGTTATCCATTTAATCAAACATGGAAATGCAGTGGACGTCCTATGGCTGAGATGATGATGATGATGATCCAATTCCATGTTTTGACATCGTAAAAAATCTGGATGTTTTTCTCTCTATTTACCCGTCTGCGCCAGAAGGATTATTATGATTCTGTTTGCGTGACAAACTCCGCAAACCGAGTATATTCCGGGCAAATATTGGCCCAATCTTAGATTAGTTTGGCAAACGAAACAATCGCGCGGTAACGAGCTGGGCTGGTATTTTTAGATCAATCAGTTGGTACAGACATCAGTTTTTTTGTTGCAAAATGGCCCCAATTACAACTATATAAGATGCTGCTGTGTGTACCTTGATGTGCAGTCGTCTGTATATAAAGTTGCTGGCTGAAAAAAATAGCTGGGAATCGGATGCATTAGAAGAGTTTTCTATTGCGCCTCTTTCTTGTTTACTAGATTTTGCCTAAGACTTCATGCACATAGATTTAGATAAAAAGCAGCTTTACGGACTTCTTGGCGGGAATCTGAAGCGTCATGTTAGCGGTTTTGTTTTATTTCCTCAAATTCGTGTGTGGGCGACTATTAATGTGTAATAATGGTGGATTATTAACCATTGAGTGTTCGTGAACGTGCATGGGTATGGGCAAGTGAAGCAAAACAGTGCATGGTTCTCTCAAGTTGTCCATAGGAGGTCTCAGTAAAGCACCACAACTTTACTGAGACTCAAAGGGTGGGAAGGGGTATCATCTATCATCCTTCATTATTCATTACTTGATCTCATTTTGTAACTCGTATCACTTATATACTTGAAAATGGCACAAATCAAGTCGACCTCGACGTGTACTGCCAACATCATCAAAAAAGAAGAAGAAGAAGCAGCTTTACGGTTACAGACTTTTTGCTATGCAGAATAAAATCTTTTTGTGACGTCATCGATCATCCATCTTCACTAGTTTTCGCGTTTTTAATGTTCGTATATGTTAACTTAGAACCGAAACATGTTTCGAGGTACCGTAAAAGCGATTCGGAAA